GAAAGCGCCAGACGTTCCCCAGCCCCACGGAGTAGCCGATCTGGGCCAGGATGTCCTGCAGCTTGCTATTCCATGCCGGCCGCTTCTCCGAGTCCAGCTCCTCCTCCACATCCTTCTGCTTGTCCCAGGCCTCGCCTGTCACATTCAAGACGCTGCGCTTGTAGTCCACAGGCTCCTCGTGGGCCAGCAGGTCGGCCACCGATTCGGTGACATGCTCGCTGCTGTGCTCCCGCTGCGTCACTTTGCTGTTCTTCGGCATCGGGCCCCTCGGGCTCCGCAGCCCACGCGTCAGGCTGGGAAGAGGGAAGGTGGCGGGAGAGGCTCTGGCGTTGGAGATCGGGCCCCTCAGCTCCTAGTCATCAGTGGGATCTGCAAAATAGACACGCCAATGAGAAACGGAAGCCCAAAACCTGGGCTGTTTGGCTTTGCAGCAATGGGAGACCCATGTGTCACTCAGGGGCAGGGGAGAAATTGCCTGGGGGGGCTCAGACCAGCTTTCAAGCACCTAAAAGGGTGGTACAAGGGGGGGGGGATTGTTCTCCTTGGCCTCTGAGGATGGGACAAGCAGCAATGGGCCTAAACTGCAGCCAGGGAGGTTTAGGTTGGACATTAGGAAAAAGTTCCTGCCTGTCAGGGTGGTTAAACGCTGGAATAAGTTGCCTGGGGGGATTGTGGAATCTCCATCCCTGGGGATATTTAAGAGCTGGTTGGACAGACGCCTGTCAGGGATGATCTAGAGTAGACAGTAGCTGGTCCTGCTGGGAGGGCAGGGGACAGGGCTCGACCTCTCGAGGGCCCTGCCAGTTCTAGTATCTTCTGATCTATGAGCACTGGCCTGAGATACAACAGATCTGCCACTGGCTTTCTGCACAAGCCACAGCCCCTCTTGTGCCTCAGTTTCCCCAGCTGTAACATGAAGATACAGAGACTGCTGTCCTTTGGCAAGCACTTTGAGATCAGCTGATTACACGTGCTAGATAAGGGAGTTATTATTGATCAGGCCAGGGGCGATACCTAGGCATGCAAACAGGCCCTCCAGGGAATAAAAGACACGAGGTGTGGGGGGTAATATAAGAGACACATTTTTTGAGGTACACAGCAACCTGGAGAAGAAGTTGGTGCAGGAAGAGAGAGAACCCCTCCCTATCCCCACCCCCCACCATATCTTGTGGATGTCCTGGGAGCAATGTGGCAACACCACACTTCTAACGAGCTTCAGGCTACAACACGGGCAGACAAACTACAGCCCACGGGCCGCACCCGGCCCCTCCAGCCTTCTACTCTGGCCCTCGGGCTCTCGCCAGGTCTGGGGCTTGCTCCACTCTGCATGGCTCCGAGGAGCAGGGGCAACCATGGAGTTCCACACACTGCCCCACCCCAAGCACGTGCTCTGCAGCTTCCATTGGCCAGGAACTGTGGCCAATGGGAGCTGCAGGGGCAGTGCCTGTGGGCAGGGCAGCTGCAGAGGAGCTGTGTGGGAGCCAAAGGGGGCATGGGTGACTGCTTCTGGGAGCTGCTTGAGGTAAGCACACCCCAAACACAGATGCGCGGTGAGGTCCACCAGTCTATTGTTATATGCATCGGAACTGGCCAGCTCCCATTACTGCTGCTAGCCACAGCGCACGTCCCCTCCTTGTCGCTGCCCCAGAGAGAGCCCAGAACTCCTTGGACTGGGCTTGGTGCAGCCAGTCCACTCCCTGCCTTTCCACAGACTCCTGGGAAGGAAGGGCCACATGGCACCTCAAAAGTCATCAGGCCCCGTCCCCTGCCCTGCGGCAGAAACCTAGACAAGCCCTGACAGCTCTTCTTAAAGGGTCCAGTGGCCTGGCATCCACAATCCTTCCTACAAGCCTGAGCCCCCCGAGTGGTAGAAAGTTTCCCTCATGTCCAACCTAAATCCCTGGATGCAGATTAAGTCCATTGCATCGGGTTCCCCCTTCCCTGGGCATGCAGAAAACTTATCGGTGTCCTTGTCTTAACAGCCCTTAGCAAATCCCAGAACTTTTATCCGGGTCCTCCCCTGCCACAGGCTGCATCAGATTAACCCTGGTCACCGGCCTCACCTTGCCCCACAGGGCTGGTTTCTACAACTTTTCTCCCTTTTGTGGCTCTCCTCTGGATTTTCTCTTCAACATGACCCCCCTTTCCTAGCGTGCAGAGTCCAACCATCAGGCGTGGTCCCCTGCCTGCATAAAGCACTCGAGGAGGAAACACCATGTCCTAGAACAGCAGAAAGCTGAACTTGTGGTTCAGGCAGCCGGTTCTATTTCTGGCTCAGTCACATGCACAATCCTCTTTGGATCAGATCCAAAGCCTATGGAGATCAGTGGAAAGATTCCCGACAATTTCACTGGCCTGCCGCATCAGAGCCCTGGCTGGTCTTTCAGAGCTGCAGGTCGAGATGATGTTTCTACCTGACCCTGTGTCAACCGTGTCCTGAAGCCTGAGGATGAATTGTGCCCTTAGCACAGGATGCTCCTTCTGCAGGCAATTTTCCTGCTGTAGTAACTGCCACTGCGTTGTGAGCTATTGGCATGAATGGCCCATTATTACACAATTAAACTATTGTATCAATCTTGCCAGAATATTTAAACTGCTTCACGGCAGTGTTTGAGAGACGCCTGAGCCAGCAGAGCCCGGAGAGCTGACACGGTAGCCTAGCAACGGATGCAGGGAGCAGCTGAAAATAGCTTTTCCCACAGACGCGGGCAGGGAGCTGCTGAACTGTGAGCTTTCTTTGGAGGGATGAGGAGCCGAAAGGAAGCAAAACGCAGAAAATCGCTTCCTGCCAAGGCTCTGTTTCCCCACTAGGCTGCTCCTTAACGCCGCTCAGCAAGTGGGCCTGATACGCTGAGCGGAGCCCTGGCCTGGCCTGCAGACCTTGGCTTCTGAGTCATCGGGGTCAGATGCTGAGATCTTTGCACAGGCCTTCTTCAGGAAAAGACGGGTCATTTTCCAGCGGGCCTGCGTCTGAATAAAGAGACATTTTCCTGGCAGCTTAGCAGCGGCTTCCTAGCAAGATCCGGGATAGGGGTCTCCTCTGGCTCACCTGTGTACAATCGGGAGCGACTCCATTGGGCTTGCTTCGCCCTCACTCGTGTGAACGCAGATCAGGGGAGACGCACAAAGGCCTGAGCAGAAAGCAGGAAAGGGCCCTGGGCCGCTGTCCTTGGTGCTGAAACCAGACGTGGGCTCCCCTTTCAGAGATTTTCCTGAGGGGCGAATGGCACTTTGCCTGCGTGAGGGTCCTGGGGGCAGCGCTCGCCCCACACCGATGGCAGCCAGATTCCTCGATGCCAGGACTTGCTTCCGCTCCCTTCTTCCACTCCCGCCAGATCCCACTGTTGGAAGCACCTCCAGGGCCCGGATCAGGACTGTCAAATCAGGGGTGTGAGTCGGGGCCTGGCTCTGATTTCGCCCAGGCCCATGTAAATGAGATAACTGGATGAAAGCCACCTCATTCCAGGGCCAGATGTGCTGCTCTCCTACACCAGGGGCCAGATGTGCTGCTCTCCTCCACGACAGCTCAGACCTCTGGGGACCTGACCCATCCGGCAGCAGGGAATTTGCCAGACCGGGACAGGTCAATGCCCGTCCTCTGCTACTAGCTGCAGGGCTCCACTCCACCAGCAGCAGTGGGGCTGAATGAGTGGGGCTGAGATGGAGGAAGAGGCAGGGGGTTGAGGAGCCCCACAGCCAGGGGGCAGGAGCACAGTCCTGCAGGAGTCTCCTAGCCCCACAGCCACCGGGTTGTGCCCCTGACCCCAGCTGCAGGGCTCTGCAGCCACCTGCCTCTCCTCCAGAGTGTTTCCCCATCCCCACTGCTCCCCTCCCTCCCTGCTCATGAGCTATTGGTGGCACTCCAGAGGCTCAGGGAGGGTGGGCTGAGTGCGGGGCCGGGGTTCCCCCAGGACTTCTCCAGCCTGGGAACACCCCCGGGATGCTGGACCACAGATGCTGCTGGATGCTGGAAGCCTGGACTAGAGACCCACCCAGTAACATCAGGGAAACGCAAGAGAGAGGAGCCCGAAGGCCAATGTGAAATCAGCCCGTCTGTTCCCAGCACCCTTGTGAAGCAGCCTCAGCATCCCAAAGGGCCAGATCTAAGCCTGCCGCAGCCAGTCGGTCTTTCCAGGCTCCTGGGCCAGGGCTCCCCTGGTGCATTTCAATTCCAGCCTTTCCGCCGTTGCTGATTGAAAAGGGATTTAATCAAAAATTCATCTCCCCAAACAACCAGCCAAGTGGATACAGACAAGGCTGAGCAGCTGGCAAGCAAGAGCCTTGCTAGTTCTCCCTGAGAGACGGGGCTGGCTTCATTCCGGCCTGGACTGTCTTCCCACGGGCAAGTTCTCACTCTTGGGAAGGGAGCGGAAGCAGTTCTCACTCTCAGGCTGCAGAGAGGGGCACTTGAGAAGCTCAAAGGCTGCCCTCTAGTTGCAGTAATATTTCATGTGGAATGGCTGTGCTGGGTTCTCCGTCATCTGGAGAGCCCTGCAAATCCATGGATACCTGCTTCATATCCGCAGGTATCTGCACTCGCGGATGTCAGTGCGGATACCCGCTTCATATTCAGGGGAATCCGTACCCAGGGCCGGCCTTACCATGAGGTGAACTGAGGCGGCTGCCTCAGGTGCCAGACTGGGGGGCACCACTAGGACCCAGAGTGTAGACAATTGTGTCTGTGCTGGTACAGGTGTATTCTCTCTGCACTAGATGCACAGAGATGGTGGAGGGCTGTGCTGGAGGAAGGAGCACACAAGAGACACAACAGGCAGGCAGGAAAAAGGGGGCATGGGGGTGTCATTCGAGCTCCCTGCCTTAGGTGCCAAAATGTTGTGGGCCAGCCCTGTCCACACCCACAGATGTCAGTGCGGATACCCGCTTCATATCCACAAGTATCCACAAGTATCCACACCCACAGATGTCAGTACAGATACTGTGTTGTACTGTGCAGGGGGTCAGACTACCCACAGATGTCAGTGCGGATACCCGCTTCATATCCACAAGTATCCACAAGTATCCACACCCACAGATGTCAGTACAGATACTGTGTTGTACTGTGCAGGGGGTCAGACTAGATGAGCATAATGGTCCCTTCTGACCTTAAAGTCTATGAGTCTATGAGATACCCACTTCATATCCACGGGTATCCGTACCCGCAGATGTCAATGTGGATACCTGCTTCATACCCACTGGTATCTGCACCCGCAGATGTCAGTACGGATACCCGCTTCATATCCACGGGGTATCCGCACCCGCAGATGTTAATGGGGATATCCACTTCATATCCACAAGTATCTGCACCTGCAGATGTCAGTGCGGATACCTGCTTCATATCCACAGGTATCCGCACCCTCCAATGCAAATATCCGCAGCTCATTTTTGTGGCTGCAGATACAAATTTTGTATCTGCACAGGGCTCTAGTCATTTGCCTGCGG